CTAAGGCTCCAAACGACACTGAATAGTTTCTGCCGGATTCACCCAACATGAGTTTCCACGAGTCAAGGCAGATTCCAGCTACCGCTAGATACAACTAGAACCAGGCGGTCCTTCTCCAAGTTTTTTTCCGAGTTTGTACTGGCTGAAGAAGTGCCTGAAACGAACAAAACAATGAGAACAAATGGCTGATCACAAAGTCTTGTTTCATTTCACACCAGGAGCAGAACTCTTCTGGGGCAGAGTTGGCAGCGTCACTAGCGCAACATCCTGTCAAACATGTATAGCGCAGCTGATCTCACACTGCAGACATCGGAACCAAACGCAACAGTGAGGGCCGCACCCATTAGCAACTGCTAGGTCACTGCCAAGCCGACCAGCCTGGCAAGTGGGCCAAAGTGCCAGGGAACATCGACAACTCTAGTATAGAGCTCTTGAGCTGTATATAAAATTACACCAGCATAGACCCAGATAGCTAGGCAGAATCCCACGACCTGTTGACATGCGACTGGCTGGAACAAGAATGTACGCAGCCTGCGCAGCCAGCTTACGGCACCTCCACAGCGCGCACAATCAGCTGACACCAACACCGGTGCGCTTTGCCAGCTGACAACGCCGGCAGCGGCGCCAGCACCCGACCAGCGCCGCCGGCCGCCGCCCGTCTTAAACGCGCGCTCAGCCAGCTCACAGCACCAGCACGCAAGACCACAACAAGCACCAGCACCGACACCCTCTCGAAAGCGCGCGCAGCCAGATCACTCTTATTTGCAGCACGAACCCCATAGCTATCCCTTTTTGGTGAGTAACAACGCATGATCTTGCCCGTATAAGTTCACGCGCACAAAAGTATGCGCGCAAGCAGCAAAGCTCGTAAGTGTCATTGGCCCAAGGCCAAGCAGTCTCCAGCGCCACTATTGACTTTGAAGCAACAATCTGCAGAACGATAAGGCCGTATGATCTTGCGCGTAAAAGTTTATGCCCACAAAAGTATGTGCACAAACGGCAAAGCCCGTAGGCTTCACTCGCCCAGGGCCGAGCAGTATCCAGCACGACTATTGTGTGTGTAGCATGCTGAAACATGCTGAAACAATGGTCGGTTGAGAGCCTGACGTTGCGCATAGAACAATTACACGTACAAAAGTACGCGCGCAAACAGTACAGCCCTTGACACAGCTGCCGGCCAAAACAGAACCTGAAGAGTGTAAATACCCCACAGCGCTGCGACAACACCGCATGATGTTGCGTGCGTAAGTTCATGCGGCCCATGACTGCTGGCACTTCATTGTCAGAAGCGGCGCTTGGTCGCCCTTCGCCCTTCATCACTTCACTGTCAGAAGCGGGCACCAGCACCGAGCACCGACACGCCAGCTCACAGCGCCCAGCACCAGCACCCAGCACCGGTATACCCAGCACCCAGCACCAGCACCCGGCACCCGCACTGCCAGCTCACAGCGCCGGCATTGATGTCTCTACCACGCAGCACCGGCACCCCGCACCAGCACCAGCAACCTGTCTCCACCACGTGCACAGCCAGCTCACAGCACCCCCACCGGCACCGGCACCCAGCACCAGCAACCTGTCTGGAAAGCGCGCACGAGCAACTCATTGTTATTTGAAGTAAGAACCCCATAGCTTCGCTATCTGGGGAAAAATGGTTTTCGAGCAAAATGAAACAGAACGCTGTTGTTCTGCACGATGACTAAATCTATGTGAGAAAAAAGAAACGGCTGTAATTTAGCTTCATCTTCCTTAACAAATTACACCAGCATCGACCCCAAACAGCAGCGGCAGTCGGAGTTTTCTTTTTTGGCCGATCCATTCCTGGCGCCAAATTTGCGCCCAGCATCCAGACATGCCATGGGAGACAAGGAGAGACAAAGCAAAGTGATCCCAGCCCAGCATCCAGACACGCCATGGGAGACAAGGGGAGACGAAGGGAGACAAAGCAAAATCATCTCAGCCCAGCATCCAGACATGCCATGTGGGACAAGGGGAGACAAAGGGAGACAAAGCAAAGTCATTTCAGTCCAGCATCCAGACACGCCATGCGAGACGAAGGGAGACAAAGCAAATCATCTGAGCCCAGCGTCCAGACATGCCATGGGAGACAAAGGGAGACAAAGGGAGACAAAATCATCTCAGCCCAGCATCTACATCTAGACATGCCATGGGAGACAAGGGGAGACAAGGGGGAGACAAAGCAAAATCATCTCAGCCCAGCATCCAGACATGCCATGGGAGACAAGGGGAGACAAGGGGAGACAAAGGGCGGGAATCATCTTGGCCCAGCATCAATTCTATGCAAGAATTGAGAACCCCTCACAGCAAAGCTGTTTGGGGAGTTACAATATTATACCAGCGTAGACCCCAAACAGTTTGTGCGTTTATGAAGTTAACCACAGAGACAAACTGTCAAACCGTCAACGGCTCAAACCGTTCCAGCTCGCGGCGATCAACTCGGACCTTCTGGGCTTGTTTCAGCACTTGGCTCAATTGGCTCAAGGTCACAACCGACAATTCAGACGAAATAGAACGCAAATCTACTGAATATGCTGAGTTGTACTGACATGTGGCTTTATCATGATTGTTTGGCTAAAAGATGTTAAAAGCTTTCAACCAAAATGTGAGACAAGCAGGGACACAAGAAGGGAGACAAGTGAAGAAGCGAGGGAGACAAGCACGGGGACAAGTGGAGACAAGTGTAGCAAGAAGGGAGACGAGCAGGGAGACAAGTGGGACAGCGTAAAGCCACTTGGCCAAGAGTGTCTAAGCAGGGAGCAGGCGAAGAGGCAAGCGGAGACAAGTGTAAAAGCGTATCCAGAGCAGGCCGAGACAAGTGGAGACAAGTGAAGCAAGAAGGGAGACAAGCAGGAGAGAAGTGTAAACTCATCCAACCGAGAGCATAGAAGCAAGAAGACAAGCAACCGGCCAAGTGTAATCCAAAGTAGGCCGAAAAAGTGGGAGACCAGTGGAGACAGGTGTAAAAACAAACATCCCCAGCCAAGTGTATCCAGAGTAGGCAGAGGAAACATCTCACGCGGCCCAGAGGACCCAGAGGGAGACACGCGCAAAAGCATGCAGCCAGAGCACCCAGAGTGTATTGGAGACAAGGAGAGACAAGTGGGAGACAAGTGCAAAAGCATGCAGCCAGAGCACCCAGAGTGTATTGGAGACAGGGAGAGACAAGGGGGAGGCAAGCCAGAGTACAGGAGACAAGGGAGACAAGTGGGAGACAAGTGTACAATCACGCGGCCAGAGCAGCAGAGTGTAGTGGAGACAGGAAGACAAGTGACAAGCGGGAGACAAGTGTAAAATCATGCGGCTTAGACTGAGAGACAGCTGCAACATCATTCGTGTGGCAGGAACACAAACCGGGAGACACATGCACAATCACGCGGCCGGCCCTTTCAAAGGAGTAAGAACCCCTCACAGCTAAACCTGTTTGGGGAATAAAATCATGCGGCCAGAGCACTGAGAGCATCCAGAGCTTACTGGGAGACAAGTGGGAGACAAATGGGAGACAAGTATAAAATCATGCGGCCAGCGCACTCAGAGCATCCAGGGCTTACTGGGAGACAAGTGGGAGACAAATGGGACACAAGTATAAAATCATGCGGCCAGAGCACTCAGAGCATCCAGAGCTTACTGGGAGACAAGTGGGAGACAAGTGTGAAGTCATGCGGCCAGAGCACTCAGAGCATCCAGAGCTTACTGGGAGACAAGTGGGAAACAAATGGGACACAAGTATAAAATCATGCGGCCAGAGCACTCAGAGCATCCAGAGCTTCTGGGAGACAAGTGGGAGACAAGTGTGAAATCATGCGGCCAGAGCACGTGGGAGACAAATGGGAGACAAGCCTGAAATCATGCGGCCAGAGCAGACAAGTGGGAGACAAATGGGAGACAAGTATAAAATCATGCGGCCAGAGCACTGAGAGCATCCAGAGCTTACTGGGAGACAAGTGGGAGACAAGTGGGAGACAAGTGGGAGACAAGGGTGAAATCATGCGGCCAGGAACACAAGCCCGGAGACAAACTCAAAATCATCCGGCCCGAGCATGCACCCCATTAAAAGGAGTAAGAACCCCTCACAGGTAAACCTGTTTGGGGAATAATACAAATATGGTTACATGGTTCAACGCTTGATCGCTTTCGTTGGCAAGGTGATGATGACTGAAAAAAGTAGTTGACGAGCATACAATCGAAGGTCGCCTCCTGTTTGGAGTGGGCGGTACTCGACAAGACGGACGCCTTGACGCCTCTCTATTTCGGCTCCTGTCGCCGTTTCTACCAGCTAGACACTTAGAGCCTTGGCAATCGGACACTCACATCAAGCGCGCAAGCCACAAGAACCTTTGCACAAAAGTCCAAACGTTTCAAACAAACACCACTTATGCCATAGTACTTGTGCACATCATTTTCTATGGCTAGCCAGGAGTGCTGGCAGTCTAAGATTGTCCATTAACACTTGCATCTTGCTGGGACCCCACATTGGAGACAACTATATACAGGCTCTAAGTCAGGCTGCGCAGACTGCGAGGTGTGGCAGGTCTTGCATAGTTGCTATTCTCAACTATGCAAGTAAAAACACTTTCAGATTACAATGTCCAAATATCAATACAATATGTGTTGAATAAAGGATTCTGCTACAAAACTACAAATCGGTTGCTCCACACTTTCCAAGTCTCCACGTGCTACTGGGTGTGCTCATCGCTTGCTTTAGCATGCGACTTTTTCAAGCACTCCTTTGGCAAAAGGGTAACCCAGAGGTCAACTATATAACAGCTTGTCTTTTCTCTCCCACAAAAGGACCACGAGCTGTTTATCTAATCTCTGGAGGCCGACTTCCAACACATGTGGCTTCGCCAGCAGGTCGGTCAAGCAGCATGCAGCCAGAGATGCGATCAAAGAACGCTTTGAGTGAATTGAGTGTGGAATGTTGTTGTATGTTCTATGTCTTGAGATGTTTTTGCACAAACAATATGTTGAATTTCAGCTGTGGCTCACTGTCCTTGACGTCCACGAGGCCTAGCGGCGATCGGGCACTTCCAAGTGTGTGGCCAAACAACGCCAGTGGATTCGCGGATTCGTGTCAAAAAGGCGTTTTAATATTCTGAAATTGCAATGCACCTGTTTGCTTCATTCCTTCCCGAAGTTTTGACTTCCACCATGCCTTCCTTCTGTGGCTGGTCGGGCACCCGCTCGGGCGCTCATCGGCTGGATCAGAACTGGCGGGCGAACCAGATTGGCTGGAGCAGTGCCCAGTCGATCAGCCTGTGGAGTCTGGTCTGAATGCTTCAAGACACCCTGTCGAACGCTACGTACAGGCAAAAGCCATTGAAAACAGCCAAGCCAAGACACCTGGCCTCTGATGGAACCTGCACAACACAGGAAGTAACGGAGCTGGTCGGGAGCCTAAAGCCTTGGGCTTCTTTTTGGACGGTTTTGCCAGATCATCTCTGCAGTCACAAGGCAAAACAGGATAAAACAGGTGTCTATCCGAACTTGAGGTACAGATCTTAGTGAGATGCAGCGAGTTCATGATGTTCGTCGTTCGCGGTGAACCAAAACACACACTATTGGAACTCTCGGACATGCCTGGTTGGGAACTCTCTGGAAAATCCTGCCATGCCATCTCAGTATCATGCCATGCGAGTTTGGGCATAAAGTTTGGCATAAAGTCAATCGTCTACGAGAATAGGGACTGCCCGAACCAACCAATGCGTTTAGTTAGTCTTTTTGCTAAATGTTGAGACAAATTGAGAGCAATGAGACCAACAACCAACAAAACAAAACAAAACAAAACAAAACAAAACAAACAAACAAACAAACAAACAGCCAGCCAGCCAGCCAGCCAACCAACCAACCAACCCTCCAACCCAAACCAACCCAATAACCGACATTAACCGACAACAAATAATTTCTTAGTGGCTTCCCGGTTTGGACACCCCTTTCTTGAGGATCAAGTCCGCCAGCGTAGCATCTTCGGCAACTTGGCAGCAACCGGCACGGTCACGACCGGGGCCATGTTCGTCTGAGCCTCAAGTCGACTAGTCCTAGTGCTCTGGGAAGAAAAACAGGACGATCTCGCAAGCGCGCCAAACAAAAAGAAAGAACACTGCCAGAATGTTGATGATGGCACTGCAAGGTCTCAACCACCTTTCTATATCTCTTTGTGTCTTCACTCGATCAACCCCAACAAATACTTTCTCAACATAGCGGTGCTATTGGCAGAAGTCAATGGGAAGGATTCCCGAAGAGCCTTGTTGCTGATCTCATCCAATCTTCCCTGGCAGGAGAGTGGCGTCGCTACTCTATGATCATTCTCGTTTTGCCCGACGAATGCACTGATGGACCACACCTCACCCCGGAGCTGGGAAAATTCGGTCGACTGCGGTACAGCCGCACAACTCACCCAAAAGGCCTGCAGCTGCCGGATCTCCTTGCAGTATTCCCCTCTGATCTGCTCCAAACGCCCATCAAAGGTCTGACAGCAGAAGGGCGGGTCTGAGAGTGACATGTTGTGTTTCGCTTCAGAAACACAAGCTCATTCCATCAATTTATCATGGCCACACCTCTTTAGTGATCCATTTACTTCCAGCCACCAGCTGCCGTGCAGCGGCTGCAATCATCACCTGCCAATGAACACATCCTGAGCCGTCCCCTCGCCGTTGCTGAAAATTCCTCGCTCAAAGGAAAAGACGGGCTATGATGGCCCTTAGACAGAACATTCGCGCAAACAGGAGCAATTTTGAATAGTCGCTCAAGGTTTTTGATTCTTGACACGTGCGCCTGAATTGAGATGTGCTTCAAGCACTCTCTTCTGACAAGAGTTACATTGAGAAGCTCCCCGACTTTCTAGTGTCGCCCCGGATCGTGCCCAAGCTTTTTGCTGAGGCCTACATTTAGAAGGAATCATGGAACCCAGGATAGGGCAAAATAGCAAAGAGTAGCAACTCGAGCTTGTACGCCTTGGAGATAATGCCCCTCTCTCTCAGGCCTGCTTGGTCCAAACAACTCCATTGTTCCAAGTGATCTTATTGCCCTCTATCTTGCCCTTGAAGCCAAAGTAATCAAGGCCATCACCTTGACAGAACTTTCTCACCTCCAGTGTTTGCTTCCCCACAGTTGGATGGTTAATGATCACGGATTGGCCAGAGCTATCAACTGAGATATCAATCTCCCCGCCAGAGCTGTGTGACCACTTGCCCTGTGTAGTGTATGGAGAGATGGTTGACATGGCGCCGCCAACAAGTCAGGATCAAACAAGACCCTGCAAACACTCCGAGGAGCTCCAAAGTTTGAACCCAACGGCGTCATCAAATTTTTGTGAGCTCAAAATGGCTACAATGGCTACTCAATCTCTAGGCCAGCCCGACAAGATCATGCCCAGTGGTGAAAGGACTTGCTCCAATATCCAAAAAGTGTAAGGTATGGTGGCAAGTCTTCAATCTCCACAACAGCTCGCCTGAACGCGTGTAAGTGACAATGATGTCCCCTGCAGATCACACTTGAAAGGTCCAGGTCGTTCTGAGTGCTGTCTGTGTTATGAATGTCCTCAATAAAGGAACTTCTGCCGTTGCAAAGGAAGCGAGGCAAACAAATAAGTGCCTAGCTACCTAGTTTACCTGACAGTCAGACCACAGCACACTTGTTCTACTTCCTGGGCCACTGTGCGCACCTCATCATCCATTCCTTCTAAGGCCGTGCTCTGCACCAAGACGTGCAAGCGACTGGCCAGCTCCAAATTCTGCTGTCCCTGCAAAGTCTCAAAACGTCTCAAGTGAACCCAATGAGCCAGGGACCCTCAGGGACGTTCAGGGGACGATCAGGGACCATCAGGATGCAGGGCTGCTGCAGGGTCCTGGTCGTTTGACCATGTGCCGCTGGGGCTGTCTTTGGTATTACAAAGGGGCGTGCTTAAGTCTGCCATGACCCTCACCAATGGTACCCAGAACAATGCATATACTGAAAGGGCCCACCAAACTTGGCATCCAATTCAGGTCACAGATTCAAGTCATCATCAAAGCGTCCAGCACCACTTTTGCTCTTTTGAACGATCAAAACAAAACTCGCACAATCCTCACAATCCGACGTCTGAGTGGGGCGTTAGCCAAGGCATGGCTGTCAAGACCAGGAATCGGCGTGAATCTTGTTCTGGTCAATCAAGACTCCACCGGTTCGTCTTCTAACACGACCCGGTCCAAGCTCCAAAGCCTCCAGAGCCTCTGAAAAACGCGATGAAACGCTCTAAAACACCATTCAAAGGCTCATGAAATGCTCTGAGTCCAGGCGTCAGAGCTGGGAGAGGGCATCTGAATTATCATGAGCTGTTGGGCAATGCTTCGCATGGCAGCTCGCTATCTGACCATGGTGAGACTTGTCCATCTCCGGCAGCCAAACGATTAGCAATGACATGCAATGACTGGATCCTTAGCTACATGTGGCACATGTGGCCACGCCTATATTACAGTTGATGCAAATGCAAAAAGGATCAAAAAGGCCCCTCCTTCGGCTGTCAGAACATGGTCGCCCTATGGTACAAAGGGAAGCTCGTGAGGGGCAATTTGCTATGCCACCACGGCTTTCTACATGCAACGGCGGGATCGCTCCACCAAACGATCCTGTAGTGGAGCCTCAAATGTGCTCTGAAATCAGAAGCTTCGGCAACAAAACTTCAAATCAAGAAACAGAACGTCACCAAGTCAGCAGCCACTCGCTCCCTAACTCGCTGGATCATCTCTTCCTAGCAAAAGAACATTTACGAGTCCGCCCTGGAGCGCCGTGCGTGTGCCACTCTTTCGCACCTGCTCTTGAATGAGGGCAGCCTGTCAGGGATGTCATCTCTTGTAGCTGAGGAGAGGAGCTCGCTCTCTCTCTCTCTCTCCCTCTCTCTCTCTCTCTCTCTCTCTCTCTCTCTCTCTGTCTCTCTCTCTGTCTCTCTCTCTCTCTCTCTCTGTCTGCGGAGCTCAGCATGTGTTCTTCGGGGTAAGGCACCTTGTCCCCCTCCAAGGCATTGATCATTGCCTGCAATTCCTCCAGAATGAAGTGCTCAAAGAGATGTTGCTGTGGAGATTCAACAGCGCCTGCTTTTCTTCTGCAGCTGCCTGCAAGGCCTGATTCGGCAGGTCTCGCACACATGAAGAGAGCAACTTGAATGCCAAACCTTCCAATCCCAACAACCCGAAAAGCATTGGCTTTGATTTTTCGACCAACGTCCCTCTCTTGAATTGTTTACTGTTGTGGCAACCACATGCCATATGCTTCAATGAATGGGCCTCATCAGCCTGCCGCCGACCTCATTCCACAGTCATGCTCAGACATGTTAAGCAAAAAACACAAGGCATGTAAATAAGGAGATGCTCGAGGCTCTGGCCACCATGCGCTTTGGATGGGGAGGGCCCTAGAGCTGCATGCAGTTTGTCAAATGCTCTCGCAAGCTTGCTGCAGCCCAGTCGCGCTGGAGATCATCTATGAGGCTTAGAAGCCGAGGCCTTGGACTTTGAGAAAGGCGTAAAGTGCCTCGGCGCCTCATCTTCTCAGCTGAAAGGGCTGAGTGTTTGGGCCGAGTCTGCAACCAGAGGGAGCGGTCCTACGAACAGTGCGATGAAACCGAACAAATCCGTATGTCTCACTGACACAGGTGCTTGGGTTGCGGCAATTGACCGCCACACCCCGCCCAAACAGAACTAGCCAGAGCAAGAACTGTGTCCATGAGCAAAACCAGCAACTGTTTGTCGACAAATGACCAGCCCACCTCACTCAGCACCTTGTGCTCCGCACGTGCCACGGCAAGCTCCTCCTTTGCTTGACCTTGAGAATTCAACGCAAACTCAACTGACTCACACGGGGCAAGTTGCTTCAATAATCTTCAATATCAGTGTCAACCATTCTTTCCACGGGTGTTCTTGCTAATCAGTCCGTTATGCCATAAGTCCTTGCTACCTGGAAAAGCTCAGCTTCGAAACGCCCTTGTGTTCGACGCTCTGATTTCAGAAACGCCAACTCCTGCAATGATGTGGACTCTTCAAAAAGGAATAAGTAATAAGCATATAAAATACATGCCCTGGCCCCCACAGGTTGCATCAAGTCATCTAAGCTGCATGAACAATGAATTTCTCAAACTTGTACACTCAAAGATCCACAGACCTCTTCTGCCACAAGCAGTCTTTGAGATTCTGCCTCAACTTCTGCCTTGCCAGGTTCAATCCTTTGCCAATATCAAGCATGGAATGATAGTGCAAATAGTGCCTGGATCGCCACGGTAAGGTTCGCAAGCTTGTGTTGATGCTCCTTGGGCTGGTCTGCTTTCTCTCAGGATTCAACTCTGGAGAATGTCTTCCCAGCTGCGCTCAACGGCGAAAGCGGATGCCTTCAAGGAGTCCAGCTCGGCCTTTCGCGCTTCGCCTCACGGCGGTGCTGCCAACGCCCTCCCGTCGGACGCGCCCGCGGTCGGTGGCCTCGGCTTCGAGCTTCCGCCCACGTGCGGCCTGGGCGGAACGAGGACCTTTGGTGGTTCGGTCCGTGAGATGCCACGAGTCGGACCCACAAGTCTCGCCAGCTCGAAGAGCGAGTCCTTAAATTCTGAAAGTTAAGGGAAGCACAGACAAACAAAAAGGGACAAAAGCAGCAGGGTTGGTGCTCCTCGGCAACAGGATGTGGAAGCAAGGCCATTAGCTTGGGCTTCAACTGCACTTCTACCTGCAGACCCCAAGCGAGTTGGCGAGCCGTTCAAGGGATTGTCAAAATGATCTGTCCCCCAAAAGAAAAGGACATGGGAAACTTGATGAGAGTTATTGACTCTGGATCATCCCTCACATCCTTTATCCTCCTCTTTGCAACGCCACTGCCTCCTCGTTCCTTCTCTCTTCCTCTTCGCGAAGCCTCAACTTTGCCCGCCAATGTTCCACCTGCAAAACTGACAGGGTTTGACATTACAGGCACACATGAACTGCACTTTCCAGCTGCCTCGGCTTCCAGTTCTTGAGAGGAGTTTCGATAGGCAAGCACCTGTCCAGTTTGTGGGCCATCGAAGAGATGTTCTTCAGAAAAGCTTGATATTTAAAAAATCAGTCGCCAGAATCTAAATGCAGTTTTGCAGGGTCACAGCCTCCTCCGAGATTTCTTGACACTCCTAGAGGGGTGATGATGCCAAGGGATGGAGGGGCGAGAAAGGGATGACAAAGAGAAGTTTGCCGGCAGAGAGGGCAAACTCCTTCAAGATATATAATAGGTTTGTAACACCAGGCTAGCTTCCAGTGTTCAGACATATTCAGCCCGGTCCTGCTGGAGCCTGGCAATCCGAGCCCGCAACCTGCTCAGTAAGTTGTGTTGGCCAAAGAGGATTCCCAAGCTTACATGAACAGAAAAGCTGCTAAAAGCAGAAATACTGGTTGTTTTGATAACAAGAGTGCAAGAGAACTGTTGCTTTTTCAGGCAGTTTTATGCCGCTATGCCATGCCCATGCTTCTCTGATCAAGCCCTGGACCTAGTTGACCTCCTCCGAGCACCTTCTCCCTGCATGTCGAGTGCTGGCGCTATTTGGAGATGAGAGGAAAAACTAGACGACGAGTGGCCCGAAAGCATTTTTCATCACGTAGGAAGTCAGAGTGTGAGTTGTCTGTTAAGTGTTCAGTGTGAAGTGTTAAGTCGAGTGAGTTGAGGCAGTGTGTGGGTCTCTGTGTGTGTGTGTATCTATGTCTGTGTGTGTATGAGTCTCTGTCTGTGTGTGTGTGTGTGTCTCCGAGTAAGTTGAGGCAGTGCGTGGGTCTCTGTGTGTGTGTGTCAACCTTTTAAGAGAGCCGGGTGGTCGGGAGACATGACTCAGCTGCAGGGGCGCCAGAGCAGCTGCGAGAGATGACTCAGCCGCGAGAGATGACTCATCCGCGTACTAAAGTTGCACTGCAAAGTCACCAGTTCTCAGCTTCCAGCTCCCCAGATACTCCGCGTACTAAAGTTGTACTACAAAGTCGCCAGTTCTCATCTTCCAGCTCCCCAGATACTCCGCGTACTAAAGTTGTACGACAAAGTCGCCAGTTGTCATTTTCCAGCTCTCCAGATACTCCGCGTACTAAAGTTGTACTACAAAGTCGCCAGTTCTCAGGTTCCAGCTCCACAGACTGCTCCACGTACTACAGTTGTACTACAAAGTCACCAGTTCTCATCTTCCAGCTCCCCATATGCTCCGCGTACTAAAGTTGTACTACAACTTCGCCAGTTCTCATCTTCC